TCGATACCTGAGCCATATTTTGGACCCAAATTCTGGCTCTCTGCACCTATTCGCAGTTTGAAATTCCGACTTTTTATACCAAAAATATGCCAATTACTGAAAGCGGCGGTGGGTCACATTTTGCCCAAACCCCCCTGCAGTTTTCAAAATATCCCAAACATCCCAAATTCGATACCTGAGCCATATTTTGGACCCAAATTCTGGCTCTCTGCACCTATTCGCAGTTTGAAATTCCGACTTTTTATACCAAAAATATGCCAATTACTGAAAGCGGCGGTGGGTCACATTTTGCCCAAACCCCCCTGCAGTTTTCAAAATATCCCAAACATCCCAAATTCGATACCTGAGCCATATTTTGGACCCAAATTCTGGCTCTCTGCACCTATTCGCAGTTTGAAATTCCGACTTTTTATACCAAAAATATGCCAATTACTGAAAGCGGCGGTGGGTCACATTTTGCCCAAACCCCCCTGCAGTTTTCAAAATATCCCAAACATCCCAAATTCGATACCTGAGCCATATTTTGGACCCAAATTCTGGCTCTCTGCACCTATTCGCAGTTTGAAATTCCGACTTTTTATACCAAAAATATGCCAATTACTGAAAGCGGCGGTGGGTCACATTTTGCCCAAACCCCCCTGCAGTTTTCAAAATATCCCAAACATCCCAAATTCGATACCTGAGCCATATTTTGGACCCAAATTCTGGCTCTCTGCACCTATTCGCAGTTTGAAATTCCGACTTTTTATACCAAAAATATGCCAATTACTGAAAGCGGCGGTGGGTCACATTTTGCCCAAACCCCCCTGCAGTTTTCAAAATATCCCAAACATCCCAAATTCGATACCTGAGCCATATTTTGGACCCAAATTCTGGCTCTCTGCACCTATTCGCAGTTTGAAATTCCGACTTTTTATACCAAAAATATGCCAATTACTGAAAGCGGCGGTGGGTCACATTTTGCCCAAACCCCCCTGCAGTTTTCAAAATATCCCAAACATCCCAAATTCGATACCTGAGCCATATTTTCGACCCAAATTCTGGCTCTCTGCACCTATTCGCAGTTTGAAATTCCGACTTTTTATACCAAAAATATGCCAATTACTGAAAGCGGCGGTGGGTCACATTTTGCCCAAACCCCCCTGCAGTTTTCAAAATATCCCAAACATCCCAAATTCGATACCTGAGCCATATTTTGGACCCAAATTCTGGCTCTCTGCACCTATTCGCAGTTTGAAATTCCGAATTTTTATACCAAAAATATGCCAATTACTGAAAGCGGCGGTGGGTCACATTTTGCCCAAACCCCCCTGCAGTTTTCAAAATATCCCAAACATCCCAAATTCGATACCTGAGCCATATTTTGGACCCAAATTCTGGCTCTCTGCACCTATTCGCAGTTTGAAATTCCGACTTTTTATACCAAAAATATGCCAATTACTGAAAGCGGCGGTGGGTCACATTTTGCCCAAACCCCCCTGCAGTTTTCAAAATATCCCAAACATCCCAAATTCGATACCTGAGCCATATTTTGGACCCAAATTCTGGCTCTCTGCACCTATTCGCAGTTTGAAATTCCGACTTTTTATACCAAAAATATGCCAATTACTGAAAGCGGCGGTGGGTCACATTTTGCCCAAACCCCCCTGCAGTTTTCAAAATATCCCAAACATCCCAAATTCGATACCTGAGCCATATTTTCGACCCAAATTCTGGCTCTCTGCACCTATTCGCAGTTTGAAATTCCGAATTTTTATACCAAAAATATGCCAATTACTGAAAGCGGCGGTGGGTCACATTTTGCCCAAACCCCCTGCAGTTTTCAAAATATCCCAAACATCCCAAATTCGATACCTGAGCCATATTTTGGACCCAAATTCTGGCTCTCTGCACCTATTCGCAGTTTGAAATTCCGACTTTTTATACCAAAAATATGCCAATTACTGAAAGCGGCGGTGGGTCACATTTTGCCCAAACCCCCCTGCAGTTTTCAAAATATCCCAAACATCCCAAATTCGATACCTGAGCCATATTTTGGACCCAAATTCTGGCTCTCTGCACCTATTCGCAGTTTGAAATTCCGACTTTTTATACCAAAAATATGCCAATTACTGAAAGCGGCGGTGGGTCACATTTTGCCCAAACCCCCCTGCAGTTTTCAAAATATCCCAAACATCCCAAATTCGATACCTGAGCCATATTTTCGACCCAAATTCTGGCTCTCTGCACCTATTCGCAGTTTGAAATTCCGACTTTTTATACCAAAAATATGCCAATTACTGAAAGCGGCGGTGGGTCACATTTTGCCCAAACCCCCCTGCAGTTTTCAAAATATCCCAAACATCCCAAATTCGATACCTGAGCCATATTTTCGACCCAAATTCTGGCTCTCTGCACCTATTCGCAGTTTGAAATTCCGACTTTTTATACCAAAAATATGCCAATTACTGAAAGCGGCGGTGGGTCACATTTTGCCCAAACCCCCCTGCAGTTTTCAAAATATCCCAAACATCCCAAATTCGATACCTGAGCCATATTTTCGACCCAAATTCTGGCTCTCTGCACCTATTCGCAGTTTGAAATTCCGACTTTTTATACCAAAAATATGCCAATTACTGAAAGCGGCGGTGGGTCACATTTTGCCCAAACCCCCCTGCAGTTTTCAAAATATCCCAAACATCCCAAATTCGATACCTGAGCCATATTTTGGACCCAAATTCTGGCTCTCTGCACCTATTCGCAGTTTGAAATTCCGACTTTTTATACCAAAAATCTGCCAATTACTGAAAGCGGCGGTGGGTCACATTTTGCCCAAACCCCCCTGCAGTTTTCAAAATATCCCAAACATCCCAAATTCGATACCTGAGCCATATTTTGGACCCAAATTCTGGCTCTCTGCACCTATTCGCAGTTTGAAATTCCGACTTTTTATACCAAAAATATGCCAATTACTGAAAGCGGCGGTGGGTCACATTTTGCCCAAACCCCCCCTGCAGTTTTCAAAATATCCCAAACATCCCAAATTCGATACCTGAGCCATATTTTGGACCCAAATTCTGGCTCTTTGCACCTATTCGCAGTTTGAAATTCCGACATTTTATACCAAAAATATGCCAATTACTGAAAGCGGCAGTGAGTCACATTTTGCCCAAACCCCCCTGCAGTTTTCAAAATATCCCAAACATCCCAAATTCGATACCTGAGCCATATTTTGGACCCAAGTTATGGCTATCTGCCCCTATTCGCAGTTTGAAATTACGAATTTTTATACCAAAAATATGCCAATTACTGAAAGCAGCGGTGGGGCACATTTTACCCAAACCCCCCCAGCAGTTTTCAAAATATCCCAAACATCCCAAATTCGATACCTGAGCCTTATTATGGACGCAAATTCTGGCTCTTTGCCCCTATTCGCAGTTTGAAATTCCGACATTTTATAGCTGAAAGCGGCAGAGTCACATTTTGCCCACCAGGGCAGTTTTCAAAATATCTCAAACATCCCAAATTCGATACCTGAGCCATATTTTGGACGCAAATTCTGGCTCTCTGCACCTATACGCAGTTTAAAATTCCGACTTTTTATACCAAAAATATACAATCACGCTACTTCAAGGCAAGGACAGCCTGTTAGAACTTGTAATGCACACATATGGAGGAAGAGGAATGGTTTGCATCACTGCAGTCGATGCAGCGAGCTCCAGCGACCAGGGGATCGCTAAGCCCCGGAAGCACCTTAAGGTAGCTTGTGAAGAGCACTCGGTATGAGAATGTCCTCACCACACAAGGGGCAAAGGGACATCTCACTGCTGTACCTGGAATATCTTTACCAACTTTCCAACACCTATTGCAGAGGTATGGAGGGAAGAAGTACTCCTGAATGGAGCATCTGCCACTAGCAAGAATGACAGAAGATGGAAGGACCCTGCCACATCAAAAGTGACCTTAACTCGAAGGAGGTTGATGACAATCATGAGGGGGACAAGTAAAGGTGTAAATCTTGAGGGTAGAAAAGCTCTGGGCCTCGAGGATATATTTAATATCCCTATGGCAGTCTTTGAGGTCTCCACCTTCGGTTGCAACATGGTGTGGGAGAATGACAGTACCAGGTATTTTTGGGCACAACAGGACATGACACAGAATTTGGAGAACATAGAAAGCCAGTAGGGGTAGTCAGAGATGAAGCCAGGTCTGGCCCCAAAGTAGCCGGGGCTACAGTGCCCATCCTTCCATCACAGTCCAACTATGGGCCTGGTCACCCACCTCACAAGTCTGAGGAGAAATAACGTCAGAAGTTAACATTAAAATCAGATAAGGACTTTGTGGTGGGTGGGGGTGCTGGGCAGCGACGCCCACAAGCACAAGGGCATCGAACCTCTGAAAACCAAACCAGTGTATGTGGGTCACCATTCAGGGCTGAAAGGTATCCCAAGGACCAACAGGGGGTACCAACCTCACAATGCCCACTTGCCTTGATGTCTAGTTAGACGGGGCTAACCAGATGAGCATATTGGTTGAAGTGGGCCACACTGAACTACTTATTTTGCCCCCCCATCACCTTGCCAAAGAAGAGTGTTGCTCCCCAGGGGCCACAGCCACTGGGCAAGTTCAAATCTCTAAGCTAAAGGAGTACAAGAAGTGCACGGGTCTTCATACATGGCTAACTATACAGTGTCTCAGGGGGGTAGAAATACCCTAAGCTACTCTATCCCTTTGAGATGTAGTTCTTTCTTGTCTCAATAAACATACTTGAACTTGAACCATTCAGGGGACGCATTTCCCTTGTGTACCACTACAACAAGCAGGAGACGGGAGGCGCAGCTACCCTCTATTACTCGCAAGTGGTACACAAGAGCCTCATCACCATGCTAATGTACCATCCACTGAGGGGGGTCCAGATATGTAAGCTTTACCTCCCTAAATGTTGCCAAAAAGGTAAACTTACAAACCTTGTGTATAGATTTGATAAGGATAAATAATATTTTTCCTTTTGAAATAACTAGTACAGTATACACATTTATTTTAGGAATCATAATTATTTAATGGTGTATTATAATGAGGCATATATGTTTCTACTTACAACAAATTAATCTTAGGAAGATTGTAACAGTATATACAGGAAATACACAAATTTAATAGGGGGGAAAACGCCACTGAAATACTGGTTACAATTTTTAAGTGTACGTTTTCCATAATTTCTGAGTAAACTGTAAACACCACAAACCTGACTTTTTATAAACTTGTGCTTTTGTTATTATATGAGACTTCATTTTACAGACTTACCATGGAATGGAAATATGATGAACAATATTCACTCTGAATAAGAAATAACATTCTTCAGGTATAGAAACTGTCAAAGCTAATTTCTAAAGCTTTAAAAAATGTAAAAGTACTGAAGACTTTATAACAGGTTTTGGGCATTATTGGTGCTTAACATTGTAAATAACTGGAGTCACAGCTTGGATGTAAAATGGGTCAACTTTGATGTATTAATATGGCACCTCTATGTACATTACACACATTTACAATGGGGGGAGAGGAAGGGATTTGAAATGTCAATGATGGAATATTAATTTCAAATTTCATTAACATCAATTTTTTGCATATTGTACACCAATTAAAAAACTATTAAATGAGCACTGGTTGCAGCCATCATTGGACTGATTTATTACTTCAGCAATGATAAAATACATTTATGATGAATCAAAATTATATGAATTTATATTAATATTTTGTTAATTTATTTAAATGCATTATATATTTGTATCTATTTTTAAACTGTTGAAAGAGGGACATTTATTAAAAATGTTTTGAATTCTTGATATGGATATAAGATATATATAAATGTTCAAAAAATGTAAAGAATTTTATGTACATCAACTAAATTTAATAGAAAATGTAGATAACAAAAGACATTCAAAACTAGACGAGGGTCAGGGGGAAGTCTTCTTTACAAGGGTAAATAACGTGTTTCTAGAGCTGTTCTAGTATCACACACACTTGAGCCACCTCAACAAAAGGTGGACTGCTTAATACTTTGAAAAAAAAGTTCCATTTGTCCAGTATTGCATTTCCTGTCGCTTGCTTATGTCCAGTCGCAACGAGCTTAAACCTCCCACCTTTTGTAAATGAAGCTTTGGTCTAGATTTCATTACCTAAATTTGCAGGTCCACACAGGATGGGGGAAGGTTTTGAGTAAAAGTCTTAACTTTTGTCACTGGCACTATGTGGTAATTTACCAATTAGTTATTTTTCTAGTCAATTTGAGGTCTTTTTTAAAATTGTTTTTCATGAATAACACAACCTTTCTTTCAACACCATTTCAAGCAATGCACTTTCATGAGCCACAATGAACATACCGTCACACAAACACTATCATGTTTATTGTACAAATCTGGCTGCCCTTCAATTTTGAGATTTCCATTATAGGAATTGCCATGAGGGCTGCAGCATGGAGTAGTCTTCTGCCTTAGGCCAGAGGGAAGCGCAGGGAGTACCATTTTGGCACCATACAAACACAACAGTACCTAAAAATAATTAAATTAGTTTGTTTATTTTTGTAATGCATTAAAATGTTTTCTATCATTTTAATTCTTTAAAACTCTCAAATTATTTTCTACATGAACATCAACTTGAGTAAACTATTTTTTTTTTAAGTGATGTTTCACCTGTTAGTACCATCAAATCTGACACTTTTCTAAACGTGTACAGGTAGTGGTGGCTCTCATGGGGCCTCCTGTTCTCCCCCCCCCCCCCAAGACACTCGCTGCCAGGTATACGATTCCAACCTCTCACTAGAATAATAAACAACTAACAAATGTGTCATAAAAAGTCTATTGTAACTATACTGAATTTAAAACTTTCATTAAAACAAGACAAAAATAGAGGTTTCATGCTGTATGATAGTGAAGTGCAGCCCCTCGACCATTCTATGTTGCCACAAGCCGCTACTGTATACAGGTGAAACACAAATCAAATCCAATCTCAGCTTGGTGTTTCTCCATTTGTTGTTGTTCGTACGTTGAACTGTTCAACCATTCTCTCAAAATTTAATGTCTTGGTTTATGTAGCTGTGAGTCATGGGATTTAATAAGGGCCTCAATTACATGAACTGTGAATGGGGAAACAGGTTTCAATGGTCTCCTCAAACTCACAATGACCTTACTACTGGCCCTGTTTACTCCTTCCTTTGAAACAAACTCGTAGTAAAATGTTATCCTTCAACATCTAGAAGGTGAATTGTCCAATCAGAACCATACAATAATTCGTTTCTAGAAATAATTGAATAAGCCTAATTCATTCCTTTCAATATTAACATTCTTGAGGAAGAACTAAATTTAACCTTTTTATAGAAATCGTTAACCGATTGAAGAATGTAAAATGTACGTTTACCACGAGATTGCATGCCTCCATTTTCTTACTTTTGAGAATGCCAAGTATTCGTTAATTTAGTTTATTAACCATTTTTTGCCATGTTAATTTGTTCAGTATTACATAACAAATAGTGTATTTTAACTATCTACTAACTTCGTTTTAGGGCTCACTGTAATTAGGAATTGTCACAAATTGAAAATTGCCATCGATTTAATAATTATTACATTATAATTACTAAAACTATTGTTACATTATAATTACCAAGACTATTATTACAGAATAATTATTAAAACTAAATAAAGCATTATTCTCGTTCAAGAGTATTGTTTTCCTCGGATGCCCCGCTGGGCCTCCTAGACCAGGCACCCAATATTTTTGGCATTAGTCCCACAGGAATCCTCTATCTGGGCCCTGCAAGTTCACTAGAAGTGCAAGGGATTGCACAAGCACTGCAAACTGCAAGATGTGCTCCTCCCTCCCTCCCTCTTCATTAAAACATAATACATAATTGACAATCTGGTCAATTAATCTGTTATATGCAACTGCATGCAGTCTGACATAGGAATCACAACCAAGTTGATCAGGTACCCTTAGGAGGTATTTATTAAATTCATTCTTGAACATCAAAAGATATTGTACAGATATATATGCCCCATATATTTTAAGGGTGTTGAAAAACCTTGGGCTATTAATATTTATATGGTGAAAGAGATATCTCTACATCGCATATCTGCAGCAAGACAACTTGTAGAAAAAACGTGCAAGATGTACGCATGTTTTTTATCAAATCCGAAAAGGTTATGACAGTTTATACAAAAGGACTCTTGGATAATGAAAACTTGATTCTTCCTTTCCTAATTATATGACGTGACTATTTTAAAAATTAATTTTCACAGTGGGGGACAAGGCCTGGTCATCAGTCAAGCTCTCTATGAACGACAGACTTGATTCAGGAAGCATCCGAGGGATCGACTTAAGGGGTTTCCATTTCACTTGACACTTTGTTATAGCTGGTGCCTCTTTTTATTAACTACAACATGTATATTTCATACTAATATAATATAAAATAAATCTGAATATTCAAATTCTTTAGAGGGGGAAAAATACATTATTTTCATAAAGTACAGTAAATATATATTTAATTGGCATTTCATTGCAAAAAGGTCCATGCAATCTCCCAAAGAGCTCAAGCCCAGCCTCCTGCAGGCAAAGCTAGACATGTATAGCTGCAACATCTAATACTATATGAACACCAAAACTAAATTCTGCTAGTATATGTCTAATTTCCTGTGATGCATAAATAGAAATGTAAAATTTGAATTGAGTATTTTGTACCTATTCTTTGGATTGCTCCCTGGATTAAGCCAAATTTCAACTTTCCATTTCTTGTTAATATTATTTGAAACTTAAAACTAGCTACCACCCTTTGAGCATGATGTACAAGATTCTTAACTTATTATTTTACATATGACAGAGAAAACAAGATGTCAGCATACCCATCACTGATCATGAGCAAGCCAGGTTGCAGGGACCCACTGAGGCTCTCGTTCCAACATGTTGATCTCGTGTAGCAACTGGTGATAGGCACGATCTACATCCTGATTGATGATGATCAGGTCAAAGTAATGACCATACTGTTCCTCCATCTCCCGAGCCTTCTCTATGGTCTCCTTTAACTCCTCATCCTGGAGTGTAAGAAATTATAAGCACTGGTAATACAATGTTATAAAAAAGTGAGCTACCCACTTTGATGGGAAGAACAAATAGTATAAAAGGTAATAGGTGACTTGACTTAGAATGAAACCACCTTATACACTCCGTACCATCACACACCAACAAGCATCGTCAGCAGCACTTCACCCATTTCATTAACTAGGTGTAAAGGGAGGCCACATAAATTGCCTTGGTTGTCCAGCCATCCACCCACTCGACACATGTGCACACACAAAAATCAATTGGTTTTCATTTCTTCCGCTCTGCTCTGTTCCTTACTAATCTGCAATCATTACTTGCACGAGACATCTCATCACATTCCTTCAAAAAGAGTTGCCTATATACACAAATATTAACAAGAGAAATGATATATATATAGTAGTTTGATAACCAGGTAACAGAAGTATCCACAGTCTATCACATCTCAGAAATAAAAAAATTATTACTGTACTGCATAATATTAGAATACAGATGGTGTTATGATTACAGGATTGTGGTGAGAGAAGTAATGTTAATAGTAGTGCTTACCTATTAGTGCTTAACTTTAAGTATCTAAGGTAATGAAGTCTAGCATTCCCATACATATCTACGTGCGCCTTTGCAAAATATGCTAAAGTAATATTAAATTAACGTACGATGAACGTTATCAACATTTATTCAATGTTACATCAATGCTGTTTCCCTAGAGTTTACTGTGGAATGTCATGAGATTTGGTTCTTTAATCCCTAATGTCTGATACCATCTGTCTTAAAAATAGACCAAAAATAAGTATCTTCTTGTACTTTATCAGGTGAGAGTTCCATACTGGACTTGCAGGACTTGCATAAACTTTAAAATAATTAATATAAAATGGATGCTTCATAAGCCTGCTTTTAATTTAAACATGGGTAAAAGTAAAAATATTTTAATCTTGTCAGAACATCCCCAGTCCAAGATAGAGATTATATGCAATAGAGTGCTGTACGCACAAACAATTTCCAGTTTCTACAAATTATTTTTAGTTTAGTGTTAAATATTTATCGTATATATAGTAGCAGTCTATGAATTTGTGCATCAGCAACTTGTTCAATGACCTACCCAATGTCATACATAGAAATTACTGTACTGCTGAAGTGTTAGACGAGATAATTTTTTTCAAAGTGCATGAGTAGAACAACCGACAAAAGTAAAACTCCAAACAAGTGATCATTCATGATCGTAAAAAGTGTGATTTTGTGTGATGAAAGCATTAGAAAGGTTAACCCTTAAATGGTGTCAATCGCCATCAGCAATTACCGTTCAGCTTTGAATCGCCAAATGCGATTTATTAGTTTTGTGAAGAAAGTTTTTCATGCACACACCAGTGTAGGACTTTATTAGCAGAGTTGTTTAAAGGTTAAGGAGGCACATTACAAGTTTAAATTGGCCGCAACAAACACTCGGGTTGCGATGATATGTAGGACTTCAATCACCAGCAGAACCTGCTCCTAGGTTAAACACTGAGTAAAGCAACTCGGCCAGCCCCAAGTAAAACCCTCTTTCTGGTTTTCCTCTACTACCTTCAGACTCTCAGGCACATCCTTCACAACTCTCGCTATCCATTTACTCCCTAAGACCATGCCATCACAGCACACTTGCTCCAACCATAATTCAGTCACTTCTAGTCTTAACAAAATACACAGTTTCATAAATTGTTCTTAACTGATAGTTCATGCATAAAAATAAAAAACCATAACATGCATATCATCATAAATAGAAAACGTAACTAACCTTTACTGGTTCTCCTAATCTTTGCTTCTTCTGTCTGAGCTTCTCCAAAGACGGAGGAGCAACAAATACTACAAACGGTTTGAGATCAGAACTTTTGAGAATCTTGAGTGATAAAGGATGAAGGTTGAGAACACAGATTTTACCAGAATTCACAACAGCTCTGATGGCCATTAGACTCGTTCCGTAATAAGCTTTTTCATACTCTCCATGTTCGACGAATTTGCGTGCCAAGATATCCGATTCAAATTGTGTCCGCGATATAAAATGGTAATCCTGACCATCCAACTCTGTTTCTCTTCGTGTGCGAGATGTATCTGCAAAACAATAAAATAAGGAATGGTGTTTAAAAGGTTGAAACAAGAAGAATTACAGAATTACTCTCTAATTTCTTTGGAATATAATTCTTTAAAAATATTAAGCACAATGGATTTTGGACCATATAGACTTATAAGCACTGATAAGCAGGGTAATTACTTCAATTTCACGAACATTGACAACAAAGTGATGCCTAAGCTGTAAAATTAGAATGAAGTACAGTTTGTATCTTGACATATTATAGAACTCTACCAAATGCCAGCACAATAGTAAGTTTTTGTTTTTTTCCTTGCTGCTCTCATATTGCCATCTCAATTTTTATCTGGCATTATTCTATCCTTCTAATAAATACAGAACCATTATTCTATTTTGTTTCTTTACTGGTACCTTTACCTTTCACATTGCTTTCCATCTACTTTCTCACTTTATACAGGTACTTATTTCTCAGTGCAAGCATGAGGTGACTGCTTCAACATCCACTCTGGCATCTAAATTATTTATATTGTTTATGTACAGTGGCCATGTTTAAGGCAGTTTTGAAAACTTGCTGCATCTTACTTTATCTTTTTTCTTCTTATTTGCCAAGGGCCATGAACTGGATGCTGCTGTAGCCATAGGATTCACCCAGGACACCATTCGTTGTCAAGCTGTAATGAACTTTCTCCAACGAGACAAGAGGTTTTCAAATTGCTATGCCATGTAACTGAAGAATCTCAATTTATCACCAACTGACTTACTACGGGTTTCTGGGTAGTAGTGTCAGGTTCATTCTTGACAACAGGGAATTCTGGGTTCAAATCCTGGGCGAGACAAAAATGGTTGGGCAAGTTTCCTATGAACTAATGAATTTTTTCACCTATTTTTGCCAATTTTTTGCCAATTCTTGTCCCAATTTTTATCCGCCTTGGCATTTCTTCTAGGGTCTTCTTCCCCAACACAAACTGTCAAGGATTATTCATTTTCAGAGACATCATCTCTGTTGCTGATTGGCAATCTTCAACAGAGTTCAACTCTCGTTTTTTCAGTGTTCCACTACCTTGGCAGTGCCTAGAGAAACTGTCTAATGCTGAGGCTTTGGTGCTGGGCTCTTATGAATTAATGAACACCTTGGAGACCATGCACAGTGCCTTTTGCAAATAATTTTTTTTTTTTTTGTATGTCAAGTAATGATCCTAGTCTCTGACACCAGTTTTCCTGGATGATGTTCACCTAGCAGTAAATAGGTACCCGAGGGTTAGACAGCTGTTACGGGCTGCTTCCTGGGGATGTGTAACAAAAAGAAGGTCTGGTCGACGACCGGGCCACAGGGACGCTAAGCCCCCAAATCATCAAGATAACCTAGATAACCTTGGCTAATATACCAACCTTGACAATGCCATTCTTTTCAAATTTATCAAACATCTGTGATGCAACAAACACCCTCAATGAATGAAGTTTTACACTTGCATTCATATCAGTGCTGAACTTTGCTGCCCCCTTTGCTTGTTTGGTAGAAGCATTTTAGCAGCAATGACCACTAAACAGAATACCTGCAACCAGCCTAGAATCCAAGCCTAAGGTCCATGGTCATCTTAATCTGCCTCTGGGTGGGAGGGGGTATGCCATCTTCCCTCAGCATAGAGGGGTATGTGAGGAGGGAGCTAGCATGGAAGGGTATGAAAGTGAGAGCTCAACATGGTGTACAGGAGTAAGATGGGGGGAAAAAGGGAGCGGGGGGGGGGGGGGGGGAACACTAACAGGTGCAAGTAAGGTCTGAGAAAAATACTGGTATGCCACCTTGTTAAATGGTGGTAAATTCTGTACTAGGTCGTAACAAACTTGTAAACTCACGTGGAATGGCCGCAGCAAATCTTTCCCTGTCCTCCATAAGTTTTTGCCTCAGTTCATGTCGCCCAATATTTGGTGGGCCAATGAGGACAATCGGTCGTTTTCTGTTTGCTCTTGGATAATAGAGCGCAACATCTTCATAAGTCAGTATTTCTTCGGAGTCGAAGTCTAAAGAAAAAATTCACAATTATCATACTGAAGATATAACAATTATATAAATAATACATTTATGATAAATACAAAGCCTAATGAGCAGAGCTTCTCAAACACAACCGTTATAAGTGCACTGCATCTAAAATGAGGTGACACTGAGGTTATCGAGACAATTGTCTGTAGCTTCGTGATTTTCAAGGAGCATAATTTGAACCTCTTTATAATACATCAATCCAAAACAGTTTGGCAGCAGGGCTGTCCTTGTGAAATTCAGATTTTTCTCTGAAAAATTTGAATTTTGTAGGGAAGCATGATGAAATTCAGATATTCACAAAGTAATTACTAATAGATAATATTTTTGTTTTTTCCATTCTTCAATTTTATCTCTCTTGATTGTAAATATTATTTAGAATAATGCACTTATATTTATATGTATGTTTCACTGTGCTTGAACTGTATTATAAATTATAGAAGCATTCATTTGTGATTTTGTAGTGTACAAACACCTACTGTGATTGCATGCATAACAACCGTTTTCCTAATGAACATGGTCAGACTTCGTTGCTTAAATATTTTCACTTTTCTTTGGAAATAGCATTTGGAATTACAACCATGTAGTCCAGCAAGAGTAGTGTGAGTACATCAGGAAAGATGCAGGAAACTTCCTTACTACTGACTAGATGACCCGAGTAAATAGAGAAACTCGACTGTGGCTACAGAGGCAAGTGGCTGGCAGATAACTGTCATCGGTATTATTAGTTTCTGACAAATGTGCAAAATAGATACTGTAATGGAGTTAGAGTAAAAGGGAGAGTAATGATGGCAAGTCGTAAAATAAAACACTGAAAACGTCCAAGTATGAAGATTCTGACGACACAGTTTAACAGTGTTTATACAGGATCTTCTAATGCTTATATTATCTGTATTGTATACAAATTCACATTATTAATCAATAACCACTAATAGTTATCAGTACTTTGCATGCCACGATTATTGAAAAACTAAAGTGAAATTTAACTATAAAGCAGATATATAAAGGAATAGCTAAAATCATTCAGTATGCTACATTAGAAAAAGATCAAATTGAAGTTTAACACCATAGATGAGGAAGGAGAAATTTATATTCAATGTTGCATGCATTACCCTCCATTCCTTCACTCTGTAAAACTTGTGATAATTTTATTACCGAATAATGTAAATTCACGTTTGAGATAAACTCACAGTAATGGGAAAATGTGTACAGTCTGGAAACACACAAACGAGATGCAATAAGGAGAGAAAAATAAATGGATTGTATGTATGAATATGTACATAACAGCCATTGTAATAACCAAACATATAACCCATACATAATATATGGCTATATATTGTACTTGTATATGAATAATATAAAATTGCAGTACTGTACGTATCCACACTGTACGTATAATTAACAAATTTACTTCAAGGGTCATCATCCCAAGTGTTGGAATTAATGGGGACACTGACATTGAGATTACACCATATGTCAATTTAATACATCAAAAACTTTAAAGAAAACTTTAAAGTTGAACATTAAAGTCTTTACTTTAAAGTTAAAGTAATGTTCAACGAACATTAAAGGTCAACTTTAATCTTCAATTATGTTTATGTTGAATGATTTACTAGACGACTTTTAGTTTAACCATTCAACCCAATCTCTGATGCATAAATACGACACTAGATATTTGGCCCAATTCTAACAATATGTATTGTTGAATGCGTTTTACCAAATCTTTACCAGATTGCCTTACGTAAACGTAATGGAGAGATTTTAATAAACACATTTCCCCCCCCCAGTTGAACTAAGCAAATTCTTAATTGACATTTTTAATCATACTGTACCTCAATTTTTATAGATAATACTTACATTAAACTTTTTAGTGTACAAGAGATTTCCGTATGTACAGCATGTACATGCCGTTGTACGAATGGTCCTCTTAAGCAAGTTCTCCAAGTTTTACTGAATTTACCCGAGGGCCATTAACACACTAGTGATGTTGGCGAGTACAGGAAGCAGGCAGCTTGTCCCAGGTCCCCCCATTTGCCCTGATTTTTTCCAGCTGCATTTGAAAATTGAACTGTTTTGGTATTTACGGCTTCGGCAATTTGGTACAATTGTGTGTAGAAGTAGTCTAACAAATTTCTCTGGTGGCAAAAATAGATGCAACATCAGCTAAATGGGTCTGAGAATTGTGGTCCACCATGATTGTGGTCCACCATAATTGTGGTCCACCATAATTGTGGTCCACCAGAACTTTTGGCAACCTGAAAAAGGATCTGCCATGAACCCATTTCATATTAAAGAGCAGAAGTCAATATAGGTCCATTAAACACATCAGAAGAGAAACCACAAAACCACACATTAATGATTGTGAATTTGGCTGACTTTTCGACATTAATGGCTTTTTCCGGTCCAGAATCCTCAAGTGACAGATAGGCCCATTTCTATAAAGGATTGTCCACCAACCAAGAGAAACCTGGGACCTCATTACTTAACCAGGAAGCAGCTATGAAACTAAATTAATATATTTGGGTACATTTCCAGAGAACTGTCCTGGTTCCTGAGCAAGGAACCGAGCAAGTTACACTGGCCCAAGGAGGCCAGAATGCAGCACTGCTGAAATTTGTAGAGGAAAGGAGTGTACAAACCCCAAGAGACCTAGAAGTCAGAATCCAACTCAAGTTAGTATGAAGGATGATAGAAACAACCTCTAAGGAATGAACATCCAACCTGGGTCAAAGAGCACCCACTGCTAAGTCTCATTCAACTTAGAACCCACATCACATGAGAACGGCTAGGATCTCTTCACTCACGCCAAGATCATGTTAATTCCTTAACCTATAGGCCCCAAGCAAAAACCATTTAGGAGCTCTTGCCAAAGATGAGCAGGGAATTAGCCTGAGTAGATGATAAACAGACTGAGCCCTGCCTTATGAGAAAATAGGTTAAGGTCTAAATTTAACACAAATAGTCATAAAAGCGTCAAAATAAACATTTGGATTGTGGCACAATCTCAAATAAAAAGAGGCTCATCAGCAGAAATTGGCCACAGTTAAGACATTCAAACTCAATACTGTAAAATGTGTGGTCCAAGGGTGGAATCAGCCCAATAAGCTGCTATCAGGGAGATAGCTCTGCCAACACAGACATCCAACAAAGACAAATATCACACGCCTGTGGATGAAAAACTAAACCCAGCAGACAAAGTGACACACGCAAGAGAAATATTAAAATCTAAATTGCTTACTCGCATCCCTGAAAGCTGCAAGAAGCACAAGTTTAGTCGCAGGTGGGCGAGAGCCATCGCTAAACCAACAAATTTAAAAAGGCAAATAGGCAACTCAGGCCCAACAGGAATGGACCGCTCAACCCTTCAATATCCAAAAATACCAGATGCAATGAAGTACAGTAGACTCCAGCATACTGAGCTAAATAGACTAAAAAATGCAATGAAAATTAAACTGCAATGCAATGAAATTAAACCAAAAGAATCCTAAGTCACTACAAGAAGAATTATTGACTTATGAAACTTCAATTTATAATCTTTTTCTAACGTAACAATGAAAGATCTTAAACAAGTTGCTAAACATCTGGGCTTATTCTTTTATTTGGGCATATACTGTAGTATTTTCTGAATTTACTTCAGGGGGGCCACTATCTCTAGTGGCCTTGATGAAGGCAAGAAACCAGGAGCTTGTCAAAGGTCCCCCTCCCCATTTGTCCTTATGATTTTATCGAGCTCGATACCAAGCTAGATCTTGAATCGCAGCTGTGTTTTGGCTTTTACGGCTTCAGCGGGTAGGTGGGTCCATGGATTTAACACCCTATACGTGAAAAAGCATCCCCTATTTTCTGTCCTACAATGTGGCTTGCCGAGCTTGAAATCATTGTTTCCCTGTTTGTGTTATATCTGACCTTTTGAAGAATTAGTCTGGATCAATATTCTCCAAACCGTTCATAATTTTAAATGTTTCGATGAGAACAGCCATGTTGGGTCTGGTTTGCAGTGGTGTTAGTGCTGTGGATTTCCACCATTCCTGGTATAAGAATCAACTTAGTTTTGGAACGACTTTTGTCGCCCAGCGTTCAACTTTTTCCAAAACAGTAGTTTCTTTGAAGATGACGTTGTACTGTATTGTAATTATTAGCAGTTCTCGATTAGAATTTATAACAATACTGCACGTGAATGAAAGATAATATAGTGTTGTAATGACTCGTATATTAAGTCTAGCTTGTGTTGTTAATCTAAATGTTTCTCTTAGTTAAAATACAAAATGTTTTATTTTTGTGAATTTTTATATTTCTTTTATAAGTGTTTACATGTTAAACTGAGCATTAGCATAAACTGAGTATGTGTATGCATGTTCTGTAATGCACATAATGAATGCATGCAAGCAATGAATGTAATATACGCACTATTCGTTTGTTCAAGTCCTGCCAATTCAAAATATGATGCCAGCTCCGAGTGTTTATTCTTGTTTGAGGAGCGAGTTTATAATAACTACTAGTTCTTTATTTCCAATTTAAAGTAACATACATATACTGTACGAAACTTAAGGAAGTAAGGGACTGGTTTCAATAGCCTGTACTCCAGTGTACAGCTTAGAAGCACCTGCCCCTTACAGTACGTGCATTAGAAGCTTGTGCTGTATGACAGGCTTAACCAATTAAATTGTTCTTCTGTGTTTTGAAATGTAAACTTAGCATGAACTCACTACGTTCAAGGTCATAACTAAACTTTAAATTATCATGTTTATTGTCAACAATTAGTAGATTGATTTACAGCAATTGGGTTTGTATTGGTGATCAAACTAAATTTTAGCGCAATCTTTGGCATAATCCAATAATTCATTGAGGTGTTTGTATCAGCTTTTGACATGCAATTTTAATCTATCTTGACCATCTGATACCACATTTTCTGTATTTGACAAGGTCTCTTGTGTGGACAAAAGTGCTGATATGGTTGCTAATATTTTCACTCCGGTTAAATCTGCATATACGTCTCTCTAGACGATGAATTTGGAGAAAATGAATGTGTTCTACCATCAAAGATATATAAATGCATTATTCTAAGAAAAAGGAAAAGCATAGCATCATGGTCTTTCCAGGTGGATATTATTTTTCAAGTGCATTTCTACTTTTAGAAAATGTCTCAAATTAAAGTTTTAGAACTGTCACCTCATTTTGCAATGCTTAAAATGAATAAGAAAATAAGCAGTCTCAGAAACAAAGTTCACACTCAAAAGCAGGGCAAGCACAAGTACAGACGACACATACATTCATTTATGCCAATACCACTTCCATCACTACATATACTGTATGAAAATCAATGGATAATAAATACATTCTCTGGCAAAACATTGCTGATATTCATACCAAGCCCACATGCATCTAGACCTCAGCTACTAATATGACGACCCAGCATCCAGAATCTTCACAATACAGTATAATGCATCTGATTTTGATTACTGTAAACTATTAATCTTTTGTTTACAATGCACAGTCAACACCTGATAATCCAAAATATCCACTCAATTATTTAAATATTGCACTTCGGTGTACATTAAGCTTAATGGTCTATTCCTGGTTCTACATGGTTGTGCATTTACATACAAAACCAGTTTTAAGTGATCCTAATAGTATTTTGTTACAGATCATATGGGAGGAATAAGATGGGTCCAGAGGATAAAATCATACTATACAAAAATGTAAAATAAAATAATTATAATATTATATATATATATATTTATATTTATTGTAAACAGTAGTTAGCCCTGTTAGCTCATAACCAATTGGTCCTACATTAGAGTTCCAGGCAGGGCAGGACATCTGGACATTTCGTACACTCGCTGCCTCTGTTCATCTAGCAGTACATATGTACTTGGGTGTTGGTTGATTGTTTAGTTCACATCCTGGGAAATCATGTCATTGACATGGCAAAGACGGGGGGGAGGTCTGACCACTAACTGGATGGGTTATCATATGAACAGCCTCTATGTTGACTAGGTGGACCTAGAACAACCTAACAGGCTTCCTGCCCCAGAATAACGGAAACCATAATATTTAAGGTTTTACTGGCATAATACACAGTACAACATTCAAGGCGACAGTTCCAAAATTACCGAGCAAAACTACAATATAAAAATTAAAACCAAAACCTTTTAAAGCAGTCTCGGTAACTTCCTCAAATTTATCATCTTTTATGAAATGAACATTAAATGAGATACTGTCTCACAAATTCTCAACCCTTGCAAGATGGGTTGAGGGATTTAATAAAAATTAAATCGTCATGTACTCCCTACGAAATAGGATCACACTTCTTGTCCCATTTTTTTATATATTTTTTTTTTAAGATATTTTACTTGATTAAACCAATATTTATAGATATAGCAGAATATCCTTTAGGTAAAATTTAATTCTATAAAATTTAAACCTACCATATAATAGTCTTCAAAGTAGGCTAAATGACTTGCATGCACTTTATTTCTTTGGGCTTAGATTTTCTATGAACATTCCTTTAACTTTATTAAAGCAATATTTGACAGTGATATCACCTTGCATATGCATGTAAAACTGTAAATTGATAGTGATCTAAATTTATATCTAGCACAGAAATAACCTAAGTTAAATTACCTTATAAAAAAAAGAGACAAGCCACGTTCAATTGGCAAACACAAAACAGTTGACTGTATATTGGTACAAAAGTCTGCAATTCATATTACAATAGTTGCAAGGATAAATTTCCTTTGATGGTTTTGAAGTCCACTGATGACATAATAGAGAACAGTACAGTACTCAAACCATTTTGACAAACTTGAAGACATTTCACATATGTAAAACTTAAAATATACTATACTGTATATACAAAAATTCTGGATGATACTGCCATCAACAATGAAGCGGAAGATAGTATGCAAAAGCCTCCAAAACATCCACTAACACTACCCCGTACCAACATTGAGGTCAGACAACGAGCTGCACCGCCTCCTTCGTGTGCTGCCTTTAACACAACGACAAGATGGAAGGGCAAATCTCACTGTCAACACTCTACTTCTTGCTTGAGCTCCCGTGTTCTCTGTTTCATTTATGATGTCAGCACCTGGACCTCCTCTTCCTGGCATAGGAAGTGGGGAGTTGCTCCGTGCTGAGCCATATACAAGAGGCAGATATTGAGTTATATTGTGGGAGAATAGACAAAACATATGGGGGAAAAATGAGACCTGGCATGCAAAATAAACCAAATGTCTGAATTATGACTAGAAGCAAAGATCATGGCCACATTGCCCAACATCTTGGAGGGGAGGGGGGGTAGGGGGATGGTTGAATCCTAAATGATGGAAGTAAATATAATTCATTAAATATTAAGTGTTAAATTCCCTTCACATAAAGTGCCCCACATAAATCACATCACACTTTCCCCAAGTCCTTTATCTGACCAGTATACAAACACTCCTTTAAAAAAAAAAAAAAAAAAAATAATATATATATATATATATATATATATATATATAGTTTATTAGTATTTTAAAATAAATACTCCCTTTCCATCATTCTAAAGATGACATTCCATTAACGTAAAATCATCTTGTAGTTTTAAATGTAACATCCACACCCTACCTGCTTAACCCTTTGGCTGCTACACCAATTTTTCCACTCGATACCTTACCGATGGTAAAAAATGCAGTCTAGTAACTCAATTTTTATTAAATTTTGAGTATTAAGCCCTGACCTTTTCAGCTGTGCCATTTAAAAATTTTAATTATTTTCATAGCGAAAAAATAAACACGCATTTTCTCTTAGAAAATATGATTGTAAGTACAGCAATGCAAAATCAGGCGGTGTCCCCAAGACTCGGTAACACAAATAGAACCAATAACTAACAATTGTCTTTTTTTTTTTTTTTTTTTTTTTTTTTTTTTGCAGCAGCATTTTGGGGGCATTTTACAAAGGGTTTTCTCCTTTTTCATTATATTTCTAACAAGACAGATTTGCTATTTTCATATACTGTATATCATGACATTTGAAATATATCATTTGAAATATTTTTATGAAAAAAAAAAATTTTAGTCATTAAACAAGGGAAAGTAACGATACTATACACATTCCAAATACATTATACAGACTATCAAACAAGGAAATATGCATACTTGCCATGAAATTATATTTATTTTTGAATACAGGTAACCAAAAATAAATACAGACTTTTTTTCCATACATTGATTTGTGTTCATTTTACATTTCAAGTAAGACTAAAGCATGTTCTTTTCACATTTAACATTAATCATTATAGGATTCAAAATGGAGAATTAACACTGAAAAATAAAATTACAATTTGATTAATTTGCCAAGAGACTGCAGGATCTACCAGGTGCAGGTGCCTATTTTGACGGTCAGGTGACCTGGGAAAACATTACACAACTAGGAAACATGGACTAGTTTGAATCGGTAGTAGAAGAAACAGAAAGACACCATTATTTTCCCTACAGTTACCCAGGTGGCTTCTGCTCCTCTCTCCTGCTGGCTGTGGTGGCATGAAAGTGAGTGAAAACATCCAACATGGAATTTCTGTCTGTGTCATCAGACTCCCCCATTGGAGAGGGAAGGGTTGCTTGTATGAACAGATAAGGACATCCAGGTTGGGTTGACAGCATAAAACATGTCTATGAAGTGATCGCTGGCTTTAATTAGTAGCTCGTACTTTATTTTCTCTACCTCACCTAGGACAAACACTATAGAGTTGCTCTTTCCCTTGTTGGTTTAGTCAAGTGTTGCCTCCAAGTTCTTATCTGGTGAGTCCAATAAATTTGGTCTCTACATTTTCACCTCACCAAGAGGTTTCTTTGTTGCCTAATTTGTTTCCCCTGGCATTTCAATCTCTGAGCACAGTATTAGGAGATTAGCCCTGGCTTCCCTTTGACATTGTTGCCACCTTGCCTGTGACCTAAAGGAAATTTTCATTACTTTTGTCATTCTTCAATAAGCCTTCTGCTGTTTGGCTGTATGTACAGTACCAGAACCATGATCTTGTTCTATACCTGTAAATTGTTTATCACTGGCATATCCTGAAACCCCCAGTGTAATTGCAACAATCGCTGCTCTTCATTCCTCCAGATCCTTCTCTTTCCTAATTATCTGGATTTTGCTTGGGTAGATCATGTTCCCTGTTGCATACATTAAATTTGTTTCTGCTGTAGAAGTTTGTAAATACTTTTCCTGCGTGTATTCTTACAGCTTGACTACATCATTTTAGATTTTATCTGCATTACTCATACTACTATTTTCTCCTGAATGTCAATGTCCCTGGCCAAGGGCTGTGGGTGGCAGTCAAGTATTGGGTTGCAAAGAGGTCGGGCAGGGTGTGAACACACGAAATGAGCTAGAAAAAAAAAATTGGACGGGCAAGACCAATTCAACTACATTTTAAAAGTACAGTAGATACAATGCTCGTAGAACACTAATGTTGCATCCGATATCTGAAAGTGAAGCGGCAGATCCAGGAGATGAGCCTCCCTATCAACAAGCACATACAGGTAAGAACACTGCACCCAAACCCACCTCTCCTAACACACAGCACAGTCCCCTTCACCACCTATACTCACTGATTGAACATTCCAGAGCCAAGCACAGAGGTGATGCATACTGTAAATATGAAAATGATAGAATGATTTTCCATTAATACAGATGGGATCACAAACCACAAAGCATCCTGGAATGAGTGCTGGAGCTGTAACTACAATGTATTGAATAGAGATGACAAACCAAACTGCCAGCCATGATTAATATTTAAATATTCTTGCAACAATTATTTAGCGGTGAGAAAATAAAGATGCAAAACATGGAGACAGGTAGGAAAGAGGAGGAACGAAGGCTGGCTGTTTAGTTTGCTGCAGAGTATTGAGATTAAACCACGAGTTACAAATAAATCACAGTAGTACATTGTAGAAAAAAGTTTGATAAGTAAATAATGGCTCCTCATTGCAGTCATATATAACCCCCAGCAAACAGATGGAGAACTAAACAAGAATAGGATGATAACTATACAAGATTGAAAGCTGCATGGAGCATGGAACAAGCAGCAAATAAGAGCCTAATTACTGATATTTGGCATCTTAAATCAAAACCCTCATGAAGGCGACAACAAACGAGGAGCAAAATTAGTAAACATAGCAGTCGCCCAAAGCTTAAGATTTGTAGTATTGCACCAGATACTCAGGAGAAGTGGCAGGCCAACATACATGTCATTAACAAAGTCCTACAAGGTTCAGTTCTTGGACATATCCTGTTTCTCATGTATGTAAACGATCTCCCAGACGAAATAGACTCATTCCTCTCAATGCTGTATGAGAAGTGTTAAGACAGGAAGACAACAAGAGGCTACAAGTTGACCTGGACAAACTGAAATCCCCAATGATTTAAATGAATAAACATTACTTTTTTGTCTCTTCATGGGGGGGATGATTATCTTAAATTGTAGCATGAATTGTAGAATGCCTGGAAATGCATGATACAATTAAAAAAAGCTTGCTAATTTAGAAATTTGCTGATAAAAGCTAATTTGCAAACTTTCAAATATCAAACTTACAGAAATTTATTGAATGTTCATATGAAACATTTAATGAAATTGGGGTCAGTTCTACAAGCCACTTGTAGGGTCAAAGCTTCATTACATGATACAACAGTAGAATACATGTATTGCATGTTGTTTCTGCCCTTAAAGTATTTTTATAGAAACAGTTTATTCCACTGTCTAAGCACCTGTACCATTCACATAGTGTATATAAAACGGTGACTGAATTGCCTGCCGCCTTCTAAAGTGTACCCCAATGCTCATTAAACTATCCAGTGCATGGGTGATAAAGGTAAAATATTTTACAGTTAATATTATAACTATCAAGACCAATAATAACAGTTATGCAAAGGGATCACACTAAAGTGATATTTGAGAGAAACTCAATTGGAGCAATGAGGAGACTCGAACGAGTTATTGGGAACTCTCAGTCACACCTTACCACTGTACCATAACATGATATAAGTTATACAATTTGGGATTCCACTGAATCCACAGGAAGCCTGGAGGCTTCTGCTGAAGCCAGTCCAACACACACCCCCCTCCATGCACTCTGGTGAATGAATAGAGTTGTATGTAAAACATGGCCTGCCGTCTTGTGACCACCCAAACGTGTACATGCTGTATAGTACAATATGGGACTTATTTTTTTATTTTAGTCGCCTATGTTTCGTGCCTAGAGCAGACTGGTTCTAACCCTGACAAGCTGCTCAACAAAGTAATCTTCCCTCGAATGACTTTACCTCAAGCCACACTGCTACTGAACGATTTCCTGCCCTAAGTTTTTCTTTAATTAAAATTTAGTTAATTTTTTTTGCTATGTCAGGAAGCAGCAATAATTGACATGGACATGTTAAGATGAAGCAAGTTATGATATTTAATAAAGATAAGCTATGAGTAATTAAACCTTATAAAAATGGCCTTTCATTTTTTCACATTTCTTTTATGAAATTTGGCTAACGCGAATGGGAATATGCCCCATACCATTTGGGTGCATCTGTGTTCTCATCCATTTGTCATCATGATGGTATGCTATTTTGATAGTTCTTGATAATTAACACAAATCCACTTTTGAGTTTGTGATAAAAAAAATACATTTGCCCATTTGTAAACAATTTGTTGCCCATTACTGTAGATTCTACCCTCCTCCTATAGCCCTATTTAATATGGATTAAAGACAGACCGAACTGTAGTCACTTTTGTGTGTGGATTGGTGGGTTCATTTGTTTCAGCCATGTTATTGTGACTATCTTAATTCTTTAATGTTTATTTACCATTGGCACCACTTAATGAACTTCAAGTTCACTAAGCACCCTTAAATATGATAAAAATACTGTCAGCATAGTTTAAAAGTATATTTTACAAAAAAAAAAGGATAGGGGGGACAGCTTAATCACAATTTTGAATTATTGACCATCATATTCACACTCCACAGGCTGCCTACCTTTCCTGTTGCAACCCTCAATTCTTCAAGCTCTTGCAATGCTGCACATTACTCATGTGCAACCATTAATCTTTTACACATCCCTCTAGTAAATTCATAGTTTATTCTTCCTGACCTGGGCTTGCATGGCACCAGCAACTCTCCATCCCTAACACTAGTTTGAGCTTTACTCTAGTATCTTCCTCTACTATCATTTACACATCAGAATATTAACACTTCCCCAGTCACACACTTTCCTTCTCTCTACACTACAGGGGCTAGATTCACGAAGCAGTTACGCAATCACTTACGAACCTGTACATCTTTTCTTAATCTTTGGCGGTTTTGTTTACAATTATTAAACAGTTAATGAGCTCCGAAGCACCAGGAGGCTGTTTATAACAATAACTGTTGATTGGGAAGTTTCCATGCTTGTAAACTGTTTAATAAATGTAACCAAAGCCGTCAAAGATTGAGGAGAGATGTACATGTTCGTAAGTACTTGCGTAACTGCTTCGTAAATCTGGCCCCTGGTTATTAATCTTTACTCAGAGGCAAGCAAAAATACACTCCTCTAAATAGTTCTCCAGTCGGCTATTTAAACTGGTATGAGATCACTTCAGTATGTTTTATGAAGTGCTTTACTCAATAATCAGCCACATGCTTTGCGAACGCCTGTTATCCGAAAATGCCTGTTATCCATTTGGGGTTTGTTCAGATAAAGTTCGGATAACTGGTGGGACAGGCAGCAGTCTGAATAAAAATGTGCAATAAAGATAGAACTACAGTAGTTTGCCTAGTGACTGTACACAGCACCACTGGAACAGTATTCATACACTAATGGATGGATCTTAAGCTTTCAACTCTGCCATGATATTAGGTACATTACAGTACATGGTAAAAGGCAGTTTGCTGAGGTTACCTCATCACCATTAATCTTCACTTCAATCAACCCAACACTTATCATCCACCACATCATCTTTTCTATCTAAATAACTAAGATTGTAGTTGATGGAGCAATGTTAAAGCAGATCAGAATATATATTGGCGAGTAGTACAAACAAAATGCTGTTGAATTTCTACAACAAAATTGTCAATTTTTCCCCCCTAGCATTTTAGGATAACTATTTATCCGAACACAACATGTTATCCATTCAGTCTCGGTCCCGAGGGGTTCGGATAGCATGTGGCCGACAGTATTTGTCTCTAGTCTGCCTTCATTATATTAGATTATAATATCTGGTAAATAATCAGAAAACTTCATATAGAACAAAAAAATTTTAATCTTGCAAGTGATCATACTTTCTCAGCAAATTTATTGAATTGAAGATTCAGTCAATTCCGATTCTGAAGTCAATTCATTCATTTATTATTTGTAGAAATGCTCTACTGTATCTGCACCATGCTATAAATTTGACAGAAGTGTGTTTAATTGACAACTATTCTTGAACTTCTTCTAACCATCTATGTCATCTTCCAACACAACATAAAGCACAGAATCCTGTAGAAAGTAATATTTTTCAGAAAAATAAATTGACGATTCAGAGCTCGTTTAAAATATAAAAATTAAAAGAAATTGATACAGTACACGAAATTTATTCTCTCTCTCTCTCCAAGCAAAGTGACCTAAATCATTTCTATTTAAATTATGTCTACAACACTAGACAAAATGTCTAAATTATGATTTGCAAAACAGACAAATGTGTCCAGTCAGAAACTTGTCGCTAATGAACCCTCCATAATGTTAAGGAAAAAAAATTTACAATAGCTCCATGCATCATCACCCATGCAAGCCATGTCAGTACAGTACTTCTATGTATCATATTAGTAAACTAACATTCACAGAGCATGCAATGCATCAAGATTTATTACAGAAATTACTACAAAATTTTAAATTCCATGCTTACTCAAGCATTCAATATTTCCCATCCCATAAAAATGTTTCCTAGTGAAGCTTTTGTATTAGTAAAAACTACTGCACTGAACTAACGATCCCAAGTCCATGCTGAATATTGAAAGCTCTCGCACTAACCTTCATTATAATTGGGATAAAGCATTTTCTTCTTTTTCTTCTTCTGGTGCTTTTTGGCACACAATAACTTGCCTTTCTTAGTTTTTTCCTTGTTGTTGTTGTCGCCTACAACAGTCTGTCTCATGGCCTCACGGCTGTTGGTGAGAAAGCAGCTAGAGTCATATGGGAAATGATTAACATGAGAAATGGTATTAATATCTTTCGTGTAAATGCTACCAACTAATCAATTTACACGTGTGTACCTGTTATCTATATCTCATTTATGTTACTTCACAGCAAACAAGGATCAAGATAGGATTACAATCTTTTGTTCACATTGAGTGAAACCAAGCAAATCAAGCATAGGCTGGGGCCAGGTTTGAGGAGAACTCTTGAAACCAACTTCAGATAACCTACAGATAATCGTATACTGTACTGGTTAATCCACATTTATAAACAAAAATATTTCATTAAACGTAGATTGAGTGATGCATCTATGTTCACCTACACTCACCAAGGTTTGTGTCTAGATATATTCTACAAATTGTCTTTCCCACTGCCAGTCTTGTCAAATGCACATGTGCCACTTCCTTCATCTCTAACATCCAGTGTTTCACTCAAACTAAATACTGTGTTACAAGGAAACTGCACCTCTTCCAAATATTGTTGACCAATAAATGGGCATAGCAACATAATGGGTCCTGATATTAAAGAGAGGTGGGTGGGGGGAAAAAAATACCAGTTGAGAGTATCTAAGAATCTTTTAACTGCCAAGCATAATTATGGTTTCAAAATTGTAGAGGTAATTTAAAATGAAACACAGCATATAAAACAATTAAAACACTCACTGTTGCTGAAAGGTTTTTGAAGGGATAAGACCAGCAAGAGTTTGGTCTTCCTCCCCATCCCGGTAGGCCTGCCACCAGTTGGGGTCGGATTGAGATATCACATGAAGAATGTCCCCTTTCTGGAAGCTCATGCCCAATTCCCTAAAATAATTTATACCTTGTTTTTAACCACAATATAAACTTCATTTTCTGCAACAAAATTACTTCATGTTAATATAACTAGACAAAAAAATGTTTTTAAATGAATATTTAGCAAACATTGAATGACACCATACTGGCATACTTAACAATTGTACTAACACATTGCCAAAATTTTGTTATCTATAAATGCAGAGAAAACACAATTTTTTTGAGTGCTCTTAAATTAAATAGGAAAATATAGAAAAAACCTATACACTAAAATTGTTCTGACATATTCAGTCATGCTTGAAAGCAGATTTTGCAACAGTTTATGCATGCTACTAATTGTATTTATGTATTTGTTTTAACACAATGTACACTTCATATTACACAAGAATTATTGTACTGAGCATCCACTGAAACCTGGATCTCCTTAAAATAGATTACTCTAAACAACGGACCAAATCTGGCAATCGTATCTTCACTTCCAAACAATGCATTTATTTGTAGAAATGCTCTACTGTATCTGTACCGTGCTATAAATGTGACAGAAGTTTGTTTAATTGACAACTTTTCTGTGGCATCCGTAGTTGCAAGCACATAAACCACATTTTCCGGGAGAGAGGTTTGTCTGACCTCTCATTCATTGGCTACTCCTTTGGATATATCACCAAGAGTTGAAGCCATTTCACCTAGCTAGCATAATATGGGTACATCAGATAAGGGTAAGAGGAACTTTCTTTTACCACGGATAACAAGGCCAACTGGAGAAACATGATCACGGCTGGGATGGCAAATAGTTGGCAGAGTATGGCACTGGCACAATTGCTGACACCACAGTTTGAAAAAAAAGTGACAGTAGTGATGGTAAGAGTAGTGAGAAACGGTGAAACCTCTTAAAGTACGAGTGTTTCGATAATTCTGTTTACCGGTGATCTATGCAGTATTGTAGCATGTAGCTGGCTGGCTGTTGGCTACACCAATCTGTAGCCAAAAGAATGGCACTAACCATGGGCATTGAGAATCTCAAGGCTAGTTCAGGGCTACGCAGAAGTTTAACACAATATGACACTACTATAGCCAAATCTGCCAAATCACTACTATAGCCAAATCTGCCCGAAAAGCTACGCGTACTAGTGGCTGTACAAGAATGTAACAACTCTTGTATATATCTCAAAAAAAAAAAAAAAAAAAAAAAAAAAAAAAAAAAAAAATATTGCTAGTTTTGCATTACTCGCTAATTGTCTATTGAATATGGGATAACCATTTGTGTCCTCAATACTGTAAACAACTCAACGATGAGAACTTTAAAAGCTTCCCACACAGCTGGGGCCAACAGCTATTAAAACAAAACTTGAGGCTCTCTCCCAGTCCAGAAATTTAATTAAACAGCTGAATAAATAAATAAAGATGTAGAATGTGTGAGAAAGTAGGCTGTAAAAATTTTTTATTTAACATTACTATAGAAAATGTTTTCTTGTTATTCATCAGTAGATTTAATCCTCTGACTTATATAATTAAAAGGACTAGTAAACAATTATTCACAATTTGATCTTGTTTAACTGATGGCAAAATGCTCAAATGCAGCGAAGACAAGAATTGGTACCAAATGACAAAAAAAAAAAAAACTACTGCCCAACACCGTTTTAGCATACTACCCAGTTCAGAAAATATATTCTGCACGCTATATGCAATTTAGGTTACTGTATTTCTCATCATGTGATGACCCTTTCAAGGTCGTGGGGGTGAGGCATGAGGCAATAAGCATAAGCATCCTCTAGTATACAGAGAGGATACATGATCACACAAACAAGAAACAAGGTTTAAGAACTATTTTAAATCATTCGGTGTCTCACCTGCAAGGTATGTACAAGTCCTCTTCAGGATCATAGTCAAAGTGAGCTTTGACATGTATCGTCTGAGCAATGGGTGGGCGAGACGCTGGAGGAGGCTGTCCACTTGGGATGATGATAAAGGTCAAGGTTCCAGTCATACCTGCAATAGTACAGCGAGAATTCCAATTAGTGATTAGTACTGTACTTATGTTAGTAAGAAGAACCAAAGATAAATATTCTGTGAAGATAAACAAAGATAAATATACAAGTAAAATAAGCAGGGCATATTGATAAGATATTAAGGGATCAGTCCTTCAGCCCATCCTATTTTGAATACATATAGGGTACTGTATTGTAAAGTAGATTCCTGATTCTGTTCAAAGTACTTTTATGCCTCCACTTCTATAGCAAATTGGTATCTACACACAATTAGTTTAGCACAATTCACTGTTTTAGTAATCAGTACAAAAAAAATCCTATGTTTTAACTTTTACATTAAAAATTATATTACTGTACTGGACACCCACACATTGCAACCTTCATTAAAAAAGAGGCTCGGATTTTGACCACAACCTAACAATGTACAAATTTTCTTATACTTCCAGATGGGGCAATATACACAGATGCATCTAACCTTAAACAGACAAAACACACACATTCTTATAGATGGATTATATTATATATAGAATAATATATTTTGTCTTGTATTTTCTGAAGACCAAACAACTTCCTAGGGCACCTCCAGGCCATGACTGTTTAATGTGTCAAACTGGTTATGACATTTCTTGAAGTTTATTCCGGCTTTGTGAATTCATTATTCAAATTTAGTAAAGTAGAATATTGAGATATTAAAATATTAAGAGTAGAATATTAAAACTTCCATGTTATTTTTATACTACAAATGCTTGGGAGTCAAGCCAGGAACATTTGTGGATCAGTCTCAATTTCAACAACAATGAGACAGATACACAACTTCATCTGTGCTCAGACAATCATTTTGAATAACGTCATGGCATGGTTTCATCATTGCCCCTACTAGTATTGTGTGCCAGAGTTAAGGACATGATGCAAGAACTTTTATTTTCTATTCTAATCTCATCTGTCAATACAATATAAAATGTTTAGGCTGTCGGATCCTTTTACTCGTACGCAAAAATATTTGTGAGCAAGAAATACATTAGTATTATGCAAAATTCACATCTAACTTATTTATTAAACATGCAAAAAACATTGAGAGGCTTAGATGAAAAAATACAGTATATATACTGTACCTCTTTTTGTAGATGCAAAATCTTAATGTGATATAATACATACCAGCCAGCATATCACAAATGTCATTAACTGACTTTCCTCTCACTTCTACTCCATTCACTTCCAATATTTCATCACCCTCATGGAGGAGACCCGACTTCTCGGCAGCGCCACCTTTCACAATGCGCCCAATGATTACAGAATCACCTTCGTTTCTTATTGTAGCACCCTGAAAGTAAACAATGTATTCAGAACTAAAACATTCCACTGGATGCAAGACACCATTCTCACATCTGTGTACTCAGAACCATACTAACATTATATGCAGAAATATGTTTACAAATTAGACATTTTTATTTGTAGCAGATCAACGAAGAATACAAAGAGTACAGGGATCATAACTAGCACAGGGAGCATAATTAGCAAAGGGATCATAATTAGCAAAGGGATCATAATTAGCAAAGTGAACATAATTAGCACAGTTTCTACTTGAAGCTCTTCAAATTCGTTTGTTTTTCATAATATCAACCCACAATATTGAATGTAGATAACGCTCAAAGAAGTTGCATTAACGTGATGTATTAATGAGATCAGTAGGAGTACTCGGAGCATAGGTTCAAATTCTCGTCATGGCTCCTGCTGATTTTCTCATTGCAGGTAATATTTAATCAACTTCAAAAGTGGCATAAATAAAATAATATCAATGTTAATTTTTATCACCATTTTGAGCCCCAGGGTGAAAACCAAATGTGCCACAGTGAAAGGGTTAAAGAGACTTTATATTTACAATTATGAATAAGAGATATAAATTTCAAGTCAATACAAGACACACTTGCAAATTATTGGATAAATCACTTATAATAACCAAAAATCGACATGACAGTATCAAAGAGGTATAAACACATGTAAGGAATACAGTATACATTTAGTACAGTACTGTACTGCAAAACATAGCTAAAGCAAAGGAACGTCAAACATACCAAAGGCTCATTTGTCTTGTCTATTCGAACAATTTTTACACTTTCTTCAGGGTAATTTGTGACTCTATCCAGCACTTCCTCCTCGGGCAAGTTACCAACAGGCAGAGGCTCACGCTCAGCAATCCGATCATGTGCATACAGGAGGCCTTCCACCGAGTATTTGTTAAGTATGTCAATAAGTTCCGCTGCCTCAGGTACTGTGTATTCTTGAAGTTCCTGAAGACTCTGTAAAATATTAATGTAAAATATTAATTACTGTAAAACATTAAAAAAATATTAGATATGCACATTCAAACCATAAAAATATTAATTGATTAATAAGTTTTCTGGTGCTGTAACAATGAGGTCATTTGTACCATATCCATCACAAATCTATACATCGAAACATTTTATTGGTCCCATAATAGCTCATTCATCTGGTCATAAGGCACAGTACAGCATGTTAATGGTGCTGGCATTCTGCTCATCTTCCGCACTTGTATGGTTCATCACCTGGTGCTATTAACATTAAACATCACCATGTAGCACTGTTTACTCCCATCAAGCACCCTTGTCCTGAGCATGAATCATTCCTGTTTACTCCCATCAATCACTTGTCCTGAGCACGAATCATGTCTGCACGTCTTTACTATCTCATCCCACCTATTAACCTCAGGTTTGTCTCATCTTCTACCATCTTGTCTTTCCCACTAAGATGTTTCTTGTACAATTCCTATTTACTTAACTACTTTAGCAATATGTAAAGAAACTAAGCCAAGCAGAATGTTTAAGATTCCCTGCCTCACTTCAAAACAGAACACTGACTGGCAAGTTGTGTTGTTAAGAAAAAAAGGTGGGACAGGTGTAGTTGAGGTAGAGTAGGCAAAATTGTGTAATTAAGGAGAAGAGAGGTAAAGGGGTGTTAGTTGGCAAGTGGTGAGGATGGACAGGGTAGGGTTAGTACTATGGTTGGTGTGTATGTGTAATTACCCAAGTGTAGTTATGGGATGAGAGCTGTGCTCGTGGTCCCCCCCCCCCCCCCCCGTCTTCCTAGGACACTGTCATAACACAAATTATTTTGTCAACATCAATGAACAAGAACCAGCAGCAAGACAACTACTTACTACCTTGTAAACATCACAATTGAGTGTTGGTTGATAAACACGGTCTCAAATTTTGCAAAGGAGATAGAGAATCGAGCAGTAGTACATTTGGGTTCGTTCTACTCTCCATCAGGAATCCCAGGTTTGAATCCTGGGCGGTACAGAAATGGTTGGGCACATTTTCTTTTGCCCAATACCTATTTTTACCTAGTAGTAAATAGGTACCCAGGGAGTTAATCAACTGATGTGGGGAATGCATCCTTGGGGGGACCTTGATAAAAGCTAAAGTGCACATACACAAAGGCTGCCTATCTCCGACAAAAATTATTTCCTAATTAGTGTAACTAAAATTTTCCCCGAGGTGCTTTACAACTTACAAAAGGTAAAGTAATTGGACCTAAATAAGTTTACATCCAGAAAATACTGGTTCCAAGATATGGTTATAGCTTTATGTAACACATTATAGGATACAGCAAGGTTGCTCGATTGTTTCGAGTGTAGGTTAGACAAATACATGGAGAAGTGTGGATGCAGATAAATTCGAGCTGCCTTGTATAATGCAATATCCCTTTTGTGCAGTTTCCACTATTCATATAATGAGCTACAGCTCTCATGCCAAAATAAAAACAGGAAATTGAATTTTAGGGAATTAGATTAAACTATTTTCCTTAAATATCAAATTAATTATATTTTGAGTCACTACAAAACTAAAACCCAAAAGTACCTAATTTCATCTTCATAGTTTCCTACCTAGTGCTTCAAACCTACACTGAATCTTGCACTATCCACTTCCGCAATACACTATTTACTCTCATAAAGCCGATGTACATTTTTGTATATACTGTATATAAATAAACTTGTGTTTTAATACTCCTGGATCATACCTCCGCTAAAAGTTCTTGAGCATTGTCAGTGACAGGTGTGGGGGGTCGATTTAAACACCACGTTTCTTGCACCTTATTGTGAACAGCCAGCACCTTCTGGAACTCTGGATTGGTCAAAAGTTGGGCCACAAGCGTCATATCTTCACTAATTCGGTGGCCATTAGACTTTAGCACTGTCTGGATCCTTTGTAGTGACTGAATAAGTTCATTAATACCTGAAAAGAAATAAGAACTCAACAGTCAAGTTTAAAAAAGGCATTAATTTTAGCTTTGCTTAATAACATTAGGACTTAATATATAAATACAGTGTGTATTCCAAGTATGTACAGTATAATTACTGGTAACTTTAATTATTGTTGGATTTTGTGATGTTCTTGCTTTGTGCTGACCATATATTTCTATCTTACTTTTTAATAAGTGCAGCAATGATGATATATATGAGAGAAAATGCAGAGTAGAGGCGTGGGTGAAAGAAAATTCCATGTACAGTAAATTAAAATGACCTGAAAATAGATTCTTGGGGGAAAACGGAGTGATGTACTTCCTAATATCAATACCAAAGTCAATTTTATGATGCACATGTTTTAAACATTTAAAATGTTATATGGTGTAATAAAATAAACATTAAGTTCAATATTAACGGTACAATATTTTACTTCCAGCTCAACAGTAGTCATGCCAGTGTTGTACTTAAAATTCAACCCAAAGCTCTCTTACCTATAACTTTACTAGGGGTATCAGCACTGGCCTGGGCCTCCACCCCAGCTTGTAGCTCCTCAACTGCAAATGCTTCATTAACAACCCCAGTTGGCACAGGTTTGTTCGCGAGCTGCTGTAGCTTCTGAGATGATCGTAATGATGATCTTAACATTGCTTCATTCTCTTCACGTTCCCTGCGAACCTTTAGCTCCTCCTAAATAAAATTTAGAAACAAACTGTTTTAGTGCAAGCATTGTGCATCCATTCACACATGTATACCATACATATTACCTTGCCTTATGGCCTTATGGTTACCTTGCATTCATTCCAGGGGTCAAGGTCCCTGCAGCCCAGTCTCAGACCAGGCCCTACTAATGCACATATATACAGTAATGACAATTATATCTTAGCAAAACCATACAAAATGTTGACAACCATACCTCATATTTTTTTATTTTATTCATCTCTTCTTGTGTGGATGGCTGCTGTATTAGTCCTTCTTGCTGTGAAGGCGGGAGCTGAGGAGATCTCTGGGGTTGGTCTGGAATGCGTGGAGGCGTGGACTTTGGTAGCGTGCCATTCTGCGGTGTGGCACTTCCAGATGACCCTCCCTTCTTGCTGCTTTTACTGCTATTATTATTATTATTGTGGATTGGTGTGATTGGCTGACTCTGTGGCCTAGGTGGTGGGTATCTGGAATAAGACAAATATTTCTAATCACTAATCCCACAAGCTCACAAGAAAGTAGCATCATTTGCAACTTAGGGCCCTACTACAATGAGAGAACTGAGGCATGCTTAATAACTAGAGTGTTTCCTAATAAATTTAGGCAGTAATGACCTCTGCACAATCTCCAGGCTGGCAATTTTGCCAGATTTTAATGGAGACATTATGCTTTTGATGCATCGAGTTTCATTTGGGTATATCTCTACTTCTAATTCTGTATTTCAGTTTGGTTCAGAACAAAGTGCAAACTGTATGAATTTTAGATCTTTTGTCAGAACTGCTAGCTAACTAGCTTATAACAGTTTAGAGGATGGATACATTATACTGTACTGTATTACATTACTTTACTCAGATACAATGTAATGCAATGTTGAACCTTATTGGCTTGCATAGATTTATGCAGCGTGTACCGATTCTGTATATCAGTTTGGTTGAGAACTAAGTGCAAACTGTAGGAATTTTAGATCTTATGTCAGCACTGCTTGCCAACTAGCCTATGAGCAGTTTAAGGGATGAATATATTACATTGTATTACTTTACACTGCATTACGTAGTGTGTGTGTGTGTGTGTGTGTGTGTGTACTCTATATTACACCAGGCATCACCATTGATGTAAGTTTCATTCAGCTCATGTTGTTTTATACCAATCCCATTACAGTACTGTTACTATAGTTACCTTAATCCTTGGCAACCTGCCCATTATCCATGTTAGGTAGATGTGCCAGTTCATCTTAAAAAGATTTTTTTTTTATTAATGACATCATAAATCCCTTTGTCATTTTTGTGCAAATTGGATCACCTCATCCATAAATCTGATGACCTGATAATTTAGGCTATCTTTAATCACCTGGCTCCTGTTACGGTAATGCAAGAACTTTGGCTCTTCTTCATTTGATTCTTATTTACTGTGTAGTTCTCAGCTCCTGCTTCCCACCTCAATATGATAAAATCAGCTAGAAATGAGTATGGTTTATTATTTCTGTTCCCCTTAGTGCTATGCTTCCAGTCAATATTAGTTCAAATCTATTTTAGTCTTTGCCTCGTGGCACCGTTTGTTGAACAATGGATTAATCCTGTTTTTTCTCTTTCTGGACTTTCTGGCATGGAATAATCTCTTGCAGTTGTAGTACACCTCCTGGCAATGAATTCCACAATTTCAATTGTGGTACACCTCTAGGTCAAGTGCTTGATGCACTTCACTCTAATTCTTTTATTTTGGTGTCTACTTCCTTCAGGCTGCAATCTAACTGCCTTCTCAGTATACTTTTGTTTTTCAAACTCCCCTTCCCTTCCCCCATACAGTGGCTCGTCAAATGTTAGTATCTCAATGTTGGCTTCGTTTTGCATTATGATGATCACAAGGAAATAATTGTAATTTACATTAGTCGACTAAAGTTTAACAAATTCATTATTACATCGGTGTGAGGGGAGGGGAACGGGTACATGTGTGAGGGGAAGAGGAGAGGAGGGGGGTGCACGAGTGTCGGGGGAGGAGGTTTGTGCATGTGTACTTGCCTAGTTCTGCTTGCAGGGTTGAGCTTCAGCTCTGGTCCCTGCTCTAAACAGTCAGTCAGCTGGTGTACAGGTTCCTGAGCCTATTCGACTATCGTACTCGCATTTGAAACTGTACAGTATTGCCTCGAGATTTCGTGTGTCATGAAGTAAGTCCCTTCTCTCCAGATGTTTAAGGTTTTTTCTCACTACTGTATTTCCATCACCTTGCATGGTATAGAAGTTAGGGACACTGGCCTGTAGTTCAGTGCCTCTTGTATGTTGCCCTTTTGTATATTGGGACTACGTTAGCAGTCTTCCATATTTCTGGTAGGTCTTCTGTTTCTAGTGACTTAATATACACTGTGGAGAGTGGCAAAGTGCTTCTGCACACACCTTAGTACCCATGGTGAGGTTCTGTCAGGTGCAACAGCCTTTCCCACGTCCAGGTTCAACAGATACCTCTTAACCTCATCTCTGGTAATTTCAAACCCTTCCAAGGTTGCCTGGGATTTTAAAGGATAAGGTTAAGGGATTTCTCCTCGTTTTGTTGTGAAGCCCTCCTGGAATTTCTTGTCGAGTTTTTCACGCATCTCTCATTCTGTGTACCTGTCCTCACCATTTCTCGGTTTCATCACTTGTATTGTTGTGTTCCTCCTGATGTGACCGAGAAGCAAATTTGGTTATGCCATGGTTTTATTTGCATTATTATTTTCAGACTGCTGCTCTGCTCACTTTCAGGTATTCATTCCTGGCTCTCGGTAATCTCTCTCTGCTTTTTGGTATTTCTGCAGCTACTCCACAAATTTTTATTTAATTTCTTTGCTTCCATACACTCCCTATTAACCAATGGATTCCTCGTCTTGCTAATCTTGTTTTTCCTTCTAGGTCAGGATAAACTTGTTTACTACCTCCTGACACTTTTGGGTGACAATCCATGTCTTGTACAGACTTAGCACCGAGTTCTGTTTCTCATAGTAATTCTATTAAGAATTTTCTCATCTCATTGTTCCCCTTTCATTATGCCAGCCCATTGTTTTCTAGTTCTTTTTTGGGACAGATTACTCCTAATTGCACCAGATACTCAAATATCAGTACAATGTGGTCACTCATTTCCATGGGAGCTTCCAACTTAACTTCCCTTACGTCAGATTCAGGGTGAATATTGGAAAAAGTCTAGCCAGTTCATCTTCCCCTCTCTCTCTCTCGTGGGTCCCTTGACATGTTTGTTTAGAAAGTTTCTTGTTGCCACGTCCAGCAGCTTAGCTCTCCAGGTATCTGGTCCTCCAAGAGAATCTCTGTTCCCCAAATCTTCCCATGGTTGAAGTCTTCCATGATTAGCTGTCTGGAACTGTTCCTGCAAGAAGCAAAAGCTGCTCTCTGTTATATTAATGGTAGTCATGTTGTTTATTCCATCATATTCCTGTCCGAGTCTTCCGTCATTTGGTACAGTTATATATTACTACTACTATTTTGTCTTCTAATTGCTATGTTGCCTGTTATGTAGTCACTGAAACCCCCACAGACCAGGATAATCATCTCCTCAAGCTCCAGTCTTTTATCCGCAGACCCACTCCATCTCTTCCTTCCCTCTTTCCTTACTACATAGTAGCAGTAGGCATCCTGTAGTCTTGGGAGACTATGGAGTTGCACTCAAGTTGCCAAGGCTGGAGGGAGAAGCTGTTACTATGTTACTACATAGTACAGGTATTCCTGCAGAAACACTGCATTTGTTGACTTTCACTGGTTTTGTTTCTGTGCGTGCTATTATGTCCTAGTTTTCTTCTTGCGACCTTTCTCCGAGTTCACTTGTTTCCATTTGCAATCTCATCTATATTTGTGTACATTGTTTTAAAGCTCACTTTTCCCTGTTCATTTTCACTTCCTCTCCCTGATGGACATTCTGCTGGTGTAGGAAGTTGTTCCATGGGTGTGGCAATTTGTGAGATGGTTAACAGTGCCTCGGAGGATTCTGGGGTGAGGGGTCAAAGAAGGGGAAGTCAAGGAGGGTGAGGGGTCAAAGGAAGGGGGAAGTCAGGGAGGGTATGGGGTGAGGGGGGAGTAGGATGAACATCTGAATCTGGATAGGGAGGGTTTGGGGGATGAGGAGGGTTTCTACAGGGAGCAAGGTAGAGGAGTTGCAGTCTTCTCTTGGGTTGCTGGTTCCCCACTTCCCCTCTGGAATATAGGGTTGGGGGGGACAGTGGGTCCCCCGGTTCTCTCCTCTCTTCCTAGCATCTGCTACACTGCTTCTCTCATCCCTTGTCATGTCCCTCTGAAGGAATACTTTTTTATATCTTCTTACATTTAACAGTTGGCTCTTCTTTTGCTAGAATTTCCTATTTCCTCCTTTGTGCTTTGTAGTCTTCTTCATAAACACAACCATGATCAGTTGATCTCAGTCCTTGTTGCACAAGCCTAGCCCGAAAAACTTCTATATGCTTTGTTCAACCCCTCCATTTAAACCCTTTGTAATATGCACGCACGCTTATCTGAGAAAATAAATCAAATATCCCCATACAAGATGAACCTTAACCAAAACTTCAATCGGACTTGAGAATGGTCCAGGACGGACTGAAACGTCATCGTCCCTTCACCTTCTAGTGTGTGGTCTGGTCAATGAAACTTCAATCCTTTTATGACACACCTGCACCTTGCCATGACACATCTGCCCCAACACACACACAACCTCAGAAGAGACACTTGCCGATGGTAATAACGAGAACACGTGGCTTACCTTGGCGGGGTCTTGGTGCGAGCCACAAAGGAATCGGGCACGTCGACAGCCATTTCGCGGTGACCCGGGTCGAACTCGACCATGCTGATCATGTTGTCGAGGCCAATCTCGGGGGCAGAGATGACGGTGGGGGGATCTCGCGACTCCCTCCCCTTGCGGGAGTGCCGTGGGGTGCTGCCCCCTGTGCCCTTGTGGCGGGGGGTGCCGCGCCCCACCTCCCCACTACCGCTGCTCCCTCCCGATTTGCGAGAGCTGAAACAAAATGAACAAATTAGAACATCTCTAAAACGTTGTTATATCAGAGACTACTAATTAAAATTAACCGTGATGTATAACAATTAACTGCACTCTGGATATCATCAATTAAATAAATGGGATAAAAATATGCTACGCAGTTCAGTTAATTTAATCAAGATAACATTTTAAACACACACTTCACACATGACTCATTAACATTAAAACATAGAAAACTATGTCCACATTTGCAACATATCAATTTATTTCATATGTACCAATAGGAGAAAGGTTGTACAAAATACCCGGGAAGAGCAAAATTAACTTTCAAGAAAGACTTACTAACCCAGTCATAAACTTGAGCATCGTGACTGATCCTCAAGCCCGCGGCTTCACGTTAACCCGATACCAATGTCGCCCATGGCGGTAAATGTTCTCTTATGTACACTAATGTCTCTGTTTCGCTGCACTCTTTATACACAAGTCTGTATGAATGTGCCATTGCTAGTTCTCACTGTGTTACCCATTGTCAAACTGGTAACCATCATCTTTCATGGTTTAGTCCTTGTTCTTCTATTGAACTATCGACCAGATTACACGCAGTCCACTAGGATTTAATGTTACATCATCCTCACAGGTATGTTTCCATCGAGTTTATCTTCGATTCTTTGAACAAGACACGCAAAATTGTTCTAATATTTTCATAAAAGTTTCATGAAAACACCTTTATATACATTGGCCAAGTTTAATTAATTGCAGTATACTGCGAACAAAGCTGGTAGGGTGTAGTTCCCAAGGGTCCCCAGACACCGGACATGTCCCAATAGGATCTCTTTCAGTGGTCTGTGGCGTCTCAACACTGCTGCTCTCACCTCGTGCACAGCGTCCAAGCAATTTCTTATCCAAGCCTGTGGAATGCATCATTACTCACCCAGATTTGATATCATATGGAGATAACGTCAGCCCGAAGAGACTTATCGCCCTCACCTGCAGTTCACATTCCGACGTAAGTGATATCCAGAGAGGAGAAGGAAGACGGAAATTTTATTTCTGTAATCCTCCTCGCGCTTTACACAAAAAACGCGAGTGGAATCGCCTCTGACACAGGTATGCGCGGGTTTAGAAAATATTTATTTCGACACGCAAAAATTACTTCTGTAGAAAACACGGAAAAACTACGAGCTGATATTAATAAAGTTTTCGATTAGGCAGCAGAAAATAACATGATCTTTAACAGTAATTAATTACAGGTCCTATGGTATGGTAAAAATTAAGACAAAAACAGGGTATAAAACAATAAAATCTCCCCATCAGCTGCCTGTACACCAAAGACACTCATCTGCCCTGAACTGCTAAACACCACAAACGACATGGTTGAAGTCCTGATAATTAAAACAAATTCTAAATGTGATTGTATACAAGTCACCAGATCCTCAGCAGTTTAAACGACCCAACTTAAGAAAATAGAATACTGCTTATATACTGCTTACCCCACAAACTCTGCCCCTAACATCGTATTTCTTGGTGATTTCAACTTAAGGTATATAAAATTGACAAATGTGGCAAATATTGACATAGCAGGAAGAATCTCAGGAAGCAGTCTGAATGGACAGTCACACGCAATTGACCTCTTCCAGATTGATTGAAGATTAAGCCACCCAAAAGGTGGCACGGGCATGAATAGACCGTAAGTGGTGGCCCTTTTGAGCCATTCAAGAGCTGATACTGGAGATCTGTGGAGGTGCGACTGCACCCTGCGTGACGGGAGATGTCTCCCCCGTGTCTTCCAGATGTGACAAATTTGCTTATAAACCAGCAAATGGTAGACCAATTAGAAAACACCCTAGACGTTATTTTTTACAAACAACGATGAACTGATTAGGGGCAATGATTACAAACTCAGATCAAAACCTAATCGAATTTCAGACAAGCATGGACAACAGACCTGTGCAGCCAGCCTCAAATCCGTGAAGAGAATTCAGCAAATTCAACTTTGTAATAAACTGATTTAAATGGAAACGAATAAACCAAGACCTTGCAGAAATATGCTCGGAAGAACATCTAGAATCTAGATAATGCAAACATCTAGATGATGCAAGCGCATCGAGGAGAAAAGCACAGTAACACTAGAAATGTGTGGAAGGTACATACCAGTAAAATAAATAAGAGAAAAAGATGCAAACGGGAATGAGAACAACGTTCTCCCTATAGGTGAAGAAAAACAACAGAACATCTCAAACACTCCACTATCAACACCGACAATGAAAGTCACGTAGAGAAATAAAAATGATCGAGCTCAGGCTGTAAGAATCAAAATCCAGAAGAGGCAACGAGAGCAAAATGTCATACATGAAATAGAGTAATCTGAAATACTTTTTCTCGTATGCAAACTCTTGACCAGACCATCAAGCCAAGAGGCCTGGTCAGAGACCGGGCCGCGGGGACGTTGAGCCCCGAAATCAACGCAAGATAACCCACAAGGTAACATAAGATTCCTTTCTGATCGAGAAGTATTTTTCAACACAGAAATCTCACTAGTTAGAACTCTAAATTCCATCGTTTTAATACAACGTTTTATGGACGTGCTCATAAAACTAAGACAGGTGCTCTAGATAAAGGTACTGTCCAGATAAGTCCGTGGATATCTTTTTTCCTCGCTACTTGCAGATAACACGTGTGTGATAAGATACCATCACTACACACAACTGAACACAAACTGTGATAACGAATATTCCAACCACTCACGAGTCTCAACCGGCACACATTCTGAACATTTCGGAGGGGCTAACCAGGTATAATAATATGTATACATATACATATATACTGCAATATGTATCCACATAGTATACATGACTGTGAAGCGAAGCAATGAGAGGGCGACTGTGCGCAGTGGGGGTCAAAACACATCAGAACGGGCCTAGGCTTCCACATGTTGGTAGGCATAAAATATGCCTTATGACGTATGCCTGACTATAGTGGCATATCCCACCTCCCAATCCCTCGCCCGGTGCTTCAATCCCACTCCCCAAAGATCCACACATCCAACACCAAGACCTCTTGTTCAACTCATTAGCTTTTGACAAGAGGAAGCGTCCGCATTTGAATCCTACTTTCAGTTAAGGCAAGTGAGAGTGAGAGTAGAGTGTGAGGTAAGCGAGAGGGGAGGGAGAAGGGTAGGTGAGCGTGAGGGAGAAGGGTAGGTGAGCGTGGGGGAGGGGGCGGGAGAAATGTGTTATAGGGGGGGGGGGGGAATGGGTGGAGGGATCTAAGAGTTGAGACACGTTGCCACCAAATACCTCGTATTGATTACATCCACCAGGGTGTGCTGCCGGCCAGTGCTTGCCCCATTATGCAAGTCAACGTCGCTGGCGGCACGGTGACCAAACACCCATTCATATCGACAGGCTGCACCCCAAACCAAACACCGACATGAGAGCCGGAGCTCGATCTAGCTAGCACTCGGCCCACACACGGCATCCGGATCGTCAACGAGGTTAGGAATTTAGAATATCCGGTCCAGATCTGTCATTCACAATTCAATACTTACCCCAAGTCAGCGAGCTCTAGAGGGCCAGCACGGACCCGGTGACAAAAGGTGGGCCTAGGAGCACCAGTAGGCTGACTTCTGAGATTGCGAGAGGCGTGAAAGTAGCAGATGAAGTCTCCATCTCTCCCTCTAATGGCTCTCCGATACGCACACACACGATAACGCCCGCCAACACGCGCGTGCAACCACTCTTCTGATAACCAGCTGATCTGCCCCCTACTCCTGACAGAGCCGGGTAAATGTGGGCCTCTTATTCACGGTTTTGACTAATATCTCACCTGCGCCAGGTGGCTCTTGCGACGAATTGTCCCCATTTTGGGTTTTCCGAGCTTTATAGTGGGGGGGGTACTTGTTTTTCCTAAACCCCCCTTCGCCTTCTGTCTTCCTGATCAATCAGGCTGTGATTTGTATGTCAGATGGCGAGCAGCTGTGTCTAACATTCTGATGGACCAGACCACCAACTAAAACAGAGGGACAGAGACCGGGCCGCGGGAACATTTATTCCCGGAACCAACACAAGGGCAGCAGCGAGATTCGTGTCCCTGTGTGGCTCAATAACAGGGAGGAGGGTGGTTCAATAACAGGAGGGTGGCTCAATTACAACAGGGATCTGTTATTCCATTACCTTGAGTTTACGTTCGGCCAATTCTACTAGCTATTGTTCCCCCCAAGCCGAGCCTGGGGCCAGGCTTGTCTCGTGGTAACTTTATCTAAAAAGGCTGCTGTTGCTGCTTGGTGCGGCCCGCAGGCCTGCATATTACTACACAGGTTGTGTGTGCCTGGAGAAGGTCCTGGGAGCTGTTCTGCTCCCCCCAAGCCCAGGGGCCAGGCTCTACTTGTCCAAAGCGTTACGGTTTACAAGAATATCCGCACTAAAGATGATGACAGTTTGGCAGTTGGGTGGAAAGGAACTGGGCGACTGGGTAATTAAAAAAGCAAAAGGAACGGAGAGGAGGGAGAAGGGGAGGGGGAGAGAGGGGTGGCGGGAGAGGGGGTCATTGACGAGAGGGAGTCCATATACCGAGTATTGATAAACAGTAAGGCAGGTGGGGTTTGGGGTTACCCAGTAGCACTATCGTTCATTAGTACTGCACACCTTAGTCCATCCCCATACAGGCATCGTCCATAAAGGCATTGGTAAATGCCTTTATTCACGATAGGTTTCCTCTCCATCCCGGACGACGAGCGAGTACGTTCACCCTTGCACGAGGCCTCCAGCATTATTGCTGTTTGATAACATTATTGAGCATACACACAACGAAATAAACTTTTCAAACTGAGGTTACCTTGAGATGATAAGATCTTGCCGTATGATACCTTAAGATGGTTACCTTAAAATGGTAAACAGAGTCTTGTGGTAGGTAGCCTCGTGTTAATGCATCAAAATGTGTAAACTGTATATGCCATTTAACCTCCAAGACGTCTATAAAACCTGTAATTGTTTTAAGTTACAAAATTGTAACTTAAAAAC